TTGTTCATTTTTAAATGGTTTTATGTGACGTGACTTTCACACCAATGAAATGAAATATAAGTAAATAAACAAGCAAGCTCACACCATCGAGAACATAGAGGATGAATTTTAAGGCGGCAAGAGGTGAGGAAGAACATCCAGGTGGGAAGCTACCACAACAGTCTGAGCGAGAGATGGGACTGCCTTAGAGTCTCAGTCAGCTCACGCTGCTATAACAAAATACCGCAGACTAGGTGGCTTCATAAATGACAATCACTTATGTCTCACAGTTCTAGAGGCTGGAAGTCCAAGTTCAGGGTGTCGGCGTGGTTAGTTGCTGGTGAGGGCTCTGCTCCTGGTTTGCAGACAGCTGCCCTCTCGCTGCGTCTCACGCGGAGGACAGAGTGAACATCTCCTGTCTCTTCTTATGGAGGTGCTAATCCCATCATGGGGCCCCACCGTCATGACCTAATGACCTTCCAAAGGCCCCACCTCCTTATACCATGACATTGGGGATGAAGGCTTCAACCTGTGAATTTGGAGGAACACAAACGTTCATTCCGCAGCACTCAGCTAGTGTAGTAGCAGCGGGCATGGAAACAGGCGGTGGGATTTGAGGTCTGATTTGGAGGTCGAATCCACAGGGCTTGCTAGAGACAGAAAGGAGTGTGGGACTCCCAGGTCTTGGGTTAACTGAGTGGACAGTGGTTTCACCCCCAGCTATATCTTCCAATTTAAAAAATTCATGCATGTGCACACACATATGTGTACACACACACAAACCTGAACCTACCCTCCACATGTACGCACCCACGTACATTTGCACAATGCACACAAATGCAAGCACATGTACACACACCTGCACACAACAGATAAATGCACATCCACGTGCACACATGTGCATGCACACACAGGCACACACATGCACACATGTACACAGACCACACACAGAGATGCACCCCACACACGTATGCACCCACCTGCGCACACATGCACATGCAGGTACATACCTGAACACACATGCACACAGCAATAGGCACCTGCACACATATATACACACATGTACACATGCCTGCACACACCTGAATACACACACCCACACGCAAACAGCACACACATACGCCTACAGACTCATGCGCGCACACGCACATACGTGTGCACACACACACTCCTCACTCCACTCTTGTATTTTTCACTGCACTTGTCGCCGTCTAAACACTACATATTATTTGCTTATTTATTCGGTTTCTTGTCTCAGTGCATCAGAATAGGCGCTCTACACAAGCAGGGGCCTTGGTCGCCCTTGTTCGCTGCCACGTCCTTCAAACCCAGAGCGGTGCCTGGCACACGCAGGAAGTCCTCAGTGTCTGGTGACCCAGTGAACGCAGCGGCCAAGAAGGGAAAGCTGGGGCCTCCCCTCGCAATCCACACCTGAGTCATATTTTCAGAAGCCTCTGGAAAGTGTGAGAGACACTACATGAGTTAGAGTGAGACGGCCGGGCCGGGGGTGGCAGGGGACAGGAAGAAGAGGAAGGTGAGTGGGGAAGGGGGTGGGGCCGAGCCCCGGCTCTAAAGGCGGCCCCGGGGCCCAGGGGCGCCTGTCTGCAGCCTGCGCAGCTCAGGAGTGTTGGGCAATTTCGGTTTCCTCTGAGGCTGAAGGGACCCGGGCAGAGCCAGCCCTGCCCCCGGGGCGTCGTGGGGCCACGTCTGTTCGGCATGGAGGAGGGAGTCGTGCGGCCCTCAGTGTTCTCGGTGGAAGGACAGACGGACATCCCGTTCAGGAGGCTGGGACGAAGCCGCGGGAGACAGCCCTGCAGCGCGGCCCGCGCGGGTCTGGGTCTCCTGCTGTTTGCGATGGGGGCCGGGCTGGCCGTCCAGGGCTGGTTCCTGCTGCAGCTGCACTGGCGCCTGGGGGAGACTGTCGCCCGCCTGCCGGTGAGCGGGGCCTGGGGGCTGGCGGTGTGGGGGGCAGGTCTCCTGTGCCATTTGTGTGTGTGTGTGTGTGTGTGTGTGTGTGTGTGTGTGTGTGTGCGCGTGTAGGACGGGGCACAGACTAAGAGCATCCACGTTGACCCTGAGTGGCTGCCGCCAGCCCAGGACAAGTTAATTCACCTCTCTGAACCTCGGTCTCCTCATCTACAAAACAGAAGCGCCCACTTCCTAGGGCATGAAGTACCAATGAAGTACCATATGGCAAACGTGGTGACTGGCGGTGGCTGGCCCACGGCATGTGCTCAACCCATTGGAACCGACGCTGCAGCGTTGCTGGGATTATCAGCTGTGCCCTCACCAGTGTTATTGGGATTGTCGCTAATCCTCTTTGACCGTCTCAGCCTGTGGGAATCTCTCTGTCCGGCTGTTTCCAGCTGGCCGCGGAGGTGTCTGTCTGTCTGTGTGCCGCCCCTGTGGGTCTGTGTGTGCTCCACACCGTGCCCATGTGGCTGGCCCTTTTGGGTCTTAGATCTTTATGTCACTTCTCCTTGTGTCTGCGTCTGGTGGCCGCATGTACCCATGTGGTCATGTGCTGCCAGCCTGGATACATGTGCCCACGTGTCCCCATGTCTACCTGTCTACAGCCTGGTGCTGTGTGTCTTATCTCTGGTCTCTGTGTCTGCAGATATACATGGATCCATAAACCACGTGTCCACATGTTTCACTCCATGTGTGTCTGCTCAGCGAACCATGTATGTGTTGTGGTCTGTGCCCTGTGTCCGGTGTCCATATTCTCGGGCTGGTGTTCGTATGTCCGGCCGTCTGGATGTCCAGATATTTCTTTTTTTAGAGACAAGAGTCTCATTGTATTGTCCAGGCTGGAGGGCAGTGGCACGATCACAGCTCAGTGCAACCTCCAACTCCTGGCCTCAAGCAATCCTCCCACCTCAGCCTCCTGAGTAGCTGGGACTACAGGCATGTGCCACCGCACCTGGCTAATTTTCTAATTTTTTGTAGAGATGGGGTCTTGCTATGTTGCCCAGGCTGGTCTCAAAACTCCTGGCCTCAAGCGATCCTCCCCCCTTGGCTTCCCAAAGTGCTGGGACTACAGCCTTGAGCTGCCACCCCTGAGCCTATTTTTTTAATATTCCTTATTTATTAAACCCTTCTGTAGTGCATACTATGTACCAGGGACCCTAATACGCTCTACACATATTAATTCATGAAATCGTAAGCAAGCAGTATTCACAACTCCATTTACAGAGAGGGAAACTAAGGCACTGGGTGGTCATGAGGCTGCTGCTGGCGGGATGTGTGTGTGTATGCACGTGGCCCTGTGTGCGTGTCTGACGGTGCTGTCTATGGCCACTGGCCATGTGTGTGAGTAATGCCGGGGTGTGGCCCCCGCCACAGGTTCTCACCGTGGGCTCTTTCTGCATTTTCAGGACAGAGACGCAGGCTCCTGGGAGCAGCTGATGCAAGGTGAGTCGGGGTCCCGATCCCCAGGAGGGAGGTGGGATGGTTCCCACGCTGCCCCCACCCCTCAGCATTGCCCAACGTGATTTGCACAACTGGTCCAAGCCCCACGGGTGCCCCTCCCCCAGGCCTGAGAAGCAGAAGTGTGGGTCACTCCGGAAGGGGTGGGGTTCACTCCGAGAGGTGGACGTGATGACCCCTCGGGAGGCTGACCCTTAGCCCCACGATCTTTGCTTCTAACCTCTGACCCTCTTTCCCCAGAGCGGAGGTCCCACCGTGTCAACCCGGCAGCACACCTCACAGGTGAGGGGGACCCTGGGTCCTGGTATGGGGCAGGGGGCAGGGTGTCCTGGGAAGATAGGACAAATGCCCCAACATGTCAGCATAGTCATTCATTCATTCATTCACTCTTTAAATATTTATTCACAGAGTTGCCGAGAGCACAGGCTCTGGGGGAGGGGGGGATAGGTATTTCTAATTTTATTTATTTAACTAACCCTTATATAGTGCTTACAAGGCATCATACACTGTCATAAGCTTTATACATATTAATCCTTTGGGCCATGGTGGCACACACCTGTAATCCCAGCCCTTTGGGAGGCCGAGGCAAAGCTCTGGTCCTACCTCCGAGTTCTCATGGGGCAAAGGAAGAAGCATGGTGCATTCAATGTGGGTCCAACAGGCTGAGACTTCAGAAGGTCCCACGCAGGCTGGTTATTACTACATGAGGCCAAGAGTTCGAGACCAGCCTGGACAATATAGTGAGACCCCATCTTTACAAAAAAATTAAAATTAAAAACATTTAAAAATAATTCATTAAATCCTAAGCAGGTACTATTCATGTCTCCATTCTACAGAGAGAGAAACTGAGGCACACAGAGGTTACGAGGCTGCTGGAACCGAGGTGTGTTCCGCTCTGGTTCCTTGGTTCCGCCAACTTGCAAGTTTTGATGCTTTCTGGCAAGTCACTTCATGGCTCTGTGCCTCGGTTTCCCCCTTGGCAGAACGTGATACTTTGCCTCTCTGTGCCTCAGTTTCCCCACCTGCAAAAGGGGATGCAATGATTTAAGATGTATACTAAGCGAGTTGCTTTGCTTCTCTGTGCCTCGGTTTCCCCGATGTGCAAAGCGGGGATAAAGTGAATTATGACATAAAGCAGCCTAGCAGAGAGATGGAGGCTCAGAGAGGGTGCAGACTGGCCCAGGGTCACACAACAGGAGTAGGACACGTACTGACCGGCAGCTCCCCTTTGTCTCTCTCTCTCTCCCCCAGGGGCCAACTCCAGCTTGACAGGCAGCGGGGGTCCGCTGCTGTGGGAAACACAGCTGGGCCTGGCCTTCCTGAGGGGCCTCAGCTACCGCGACGGGGCCTTGGTGACCTCGGAGGCTGGCTACTACTACATCTACTCCAAGGTGCAGCTGGGCGGTGTGGGCTGCCCCCAGGGACTGGCCGGCGGCCTGCCCATCACCCACGGCCTCTACAAGCGCACGCCCCGCTACCCCGAGGAGCTGGAGCTGCTGGTCAGCCGGCGGTCACCCTGCGGACGGGCAGCCAGCGCCCGCGTCTGGTGGGACAGCAGCTTCCTGGGCGGCGTGGTGCACCTGGAGGCCGGGGAGGAGGTGGTCGTCCGTGTGCCGGAGGAGCGCCTGGTGCGACTGCGCGACGGCACCCGGTCCTACTTCGGGGCTTTCATGGTGTGAAGGGAGGCGCGCGGCGGACGGAGCGCGGGTCTGAGGCGGAGACCTCAGAGGGTGTCTCAGGGAGACGAAAAGCCAGCGGTCTTGGAGGGCCCCGGGGAATCCAAAACTCGGAAGACGGAGAGCTCGGTGGGCACCTCCAGGGACCAAGAACTCAGACACCCCGAGAGGCTGGAGACCCCCGGGCGAGGGGTAAAGCGGATTTGCCTGATATTCAGGAAGAACGGGTGAGGGGTGGGTATTTATACTTTCGATTCAGAAGAAAGTGGCGCTCGGGATTCCGGGGAGCCGCCCGCGGAAGGGAACTTGGTCAAGTTCCCCACTCTCGCGAGTACGAGCAGGGGGCGGCAGGTTTATCATCCGGACTCAGGACTCATCCGGCAGAGAGCCGGGCCCCTCCCCACCTACAGTCATGGTCATATACTCAAGTCCCACCCACGGACTGGTGGCCACGCCTCAGCCTAGTCACAGGACGTTACGCTCAGAGACACAGCACACAGCAAGGTGCTTCTAACCGTTTAGCAGCCAGCTCTCCTGGGCGCAAGGAGAGGCTTTGTGGTGTTCGTTTGCCAATTTCCATGGTGTAAATGCCGCCACTGTGGCTGGTTTCTGGCTACCCACATAGCACCGACCGGCTGGCTGTGTCCCGTCGCTGCTGAGCAGACATGACACAAGAACACCACTGCTGGGCCCTCGGCAGCCAGCCCAGTGCTTGCTGATTGAAAGACGGGAAGACAGAACGACCACGCCGTCAAACCTATGGCATCACAGGGAATCTATCACGTGGCTACGTAACGTCCCTTCTGTTTCACAATGACAGACTCATCCGGGCAGAGCCTCAGACCCCCACATAATCACATGGAAGTCATAGCGTTGCAAACAGTCGTGGCACTGCATGGCAACCATCTACAACACAGCCACACACAACACACGACCACAGGGTCACCCACAGGGGTGTCACCGTCACACTTGGCAATGCTCGTCCCATCAGATGCAGACGCACCCATCACGGCCAGACCCAGTGACACACACACAACATCACAATGATAAACACACGACCACAACCCACACACACATACACACACAGCCTCAGGGTTCCTCCCCGGCCAAGACTGACACACCCTGGGGTTAGGACCAGACCTTGTTTACAGCCCTGGGCCTCTTGACTACTGGTCCGTGAAATAAATGGGAAACGGTCGCACCTGGATCCGTCTAGTTCTTAGGGGAAGAAATTTGGGGTGGGATGCCAGGCCCGAAGAGCTCCACGGGAAAGGGAAGAGTCAGGTGGGGAGGGGGGGCAACAGTCAGCAACAGGTGTTGGCTCATAGAGGCAGAGTGATGGATGTCATGACGCACAGAGGTCATTTTAGCAGGAGAGAAACCTGAACCCGGTTAGCCCAGCTCCCTGCAGGAAATGTCAGGGAAACCAAAGACCCCTCAAATCCACAATTCCTGAGGAAGGGGAGGCTACCCCCTGCAAGGCACCCTTATTGAATGCATACAGGAAGGAGTGACAGACCCCCCCAAGCCAGTGGCAAGCCTGAAAGTTAAGTGGGTGCATGGGAAATAGGGGGTGGGGGAGGGGCACATAATGATATGCATGCAAATCAGATGATCTATGCAAATGAGCAGTATCAATGTGGCTGAAGGGAGGTCTTAATTCCTAGGACTCTAGGATGAGGGCTCAGATCCCAGAGGTGAGTGAATTATCGTTATCATTATTGTTGATATTGTTCTTGTCATCGTTGCATAGTTGCACCAGGACGAAGGAAACTGGCTTTGCAATCAGATGGTCCTGGGTCCCAAGTCCTCTCTGTCACTTACTAGCTGTCTGACCTTGAACAAGTCCCATTACCTCTTGGTGCCTCAGTTTCCTCATCTGTAAAATGGGGGGCAGGGGGAGGAGTGTAACAAGAGTATAGGTTGAGCATCCCTAATCCAAAAATCCAAAATCTGAAACTTTTTTGAGCACTGACCTGATGCCACAAGTGGCAAATTCCACACCTGACCTCCGGGGACAGGTTGCAGTCAAAATGCAGGCTCGCAACACACAGTTTTACTCAGTGTGCCTAAGGGAATGCCCTCTCTAGCTGGGATATATCTTTCCTCACATGCTGGATACGTATGTCGTGTTTTTTGCTCTCATGTACTTATGTGTGAATAGCGTAAGAAAATGGTTATCAATAGCCAATAAATTCAGAGTCAGGAATGATGGTTACGCCACACAACCACAGATCATTCACGTGAGGGACTGCGAGAGTGACACCTTTGCTTTCCGCGGACACAAACTTTGCTTCGTGCACAAAATTATTACGCATAGGGCATGAGATTACCTTCAGGCTCTATGAACTAAGGTGTATGGGAAGCATAAATGTATCTTGTGTTTAGATTTGGGTCCCATCTCCAAGATATGTCATTATATATATATATATACAAAAATTTCAAAATCTGAAAAGCTGTGAAATCTGAAACACTTCTGGTCCCAAGCAATTCTGGGTAAGGGATGCTCAACCTGTATTTGCCTCCTAGGTTCGCTGTAAAAATTAAATCAGTTCAGGCATGTGAAAAATGGTTTGCTCTGGTGCCCGGTACACAGTAAGAGCTCAATGAATGTGCACGTGCCATAAGGATTGAGAAATATTAAATAAGAATGGCATTCACTGGGCATGTTCCTATGCCAGGCAACTTGTTGTGAGTTACATCTTTATATGACATGCCTTGGCCCTGGGCAGAAACTGTCATGGTCTTGACTATTTTAGATGCAGAAACCGTGGTCGGAGACAGGCAGGGATGCCCTCCACCTCTGCCAAGGGAGCACGAAGAAGCCAGGACCGTTTCCTGCCTCCCTGCCCTTGCGGGCTGGTGGGAGGTGGGAGAGCCCCAAATGCCCGGCTCCAGCCCCCACTGGAGTTTCCTTCACTCTCATCATGGTCTTTCAGTTTCCGTGGCTTTGATGAGGAAACCAAGGTGTGGGGACGATGTATTTATAAAAGCCGGCAGCAGCAGCTACCAACTTCCGCCTGGGGATGGAACCTCTTGCTAAGTTTAGCCTCCAAAAATCATTCCGGGAGGGGCCTCGCAGCCTTGAGGAGCAGGAGGGACGAGGAAGAGGAGGTGGGGAGAGAGGGAGGTGGAAAGAGAGGGAGGAGGGGAGGAGAAGATGGGAGGGGAACACGGGAAGGCCCTCCATGCGCAAAAATCCCAACTTGATTTTAAAGAAGGCGTAGGGGCAGGGAGCTCCTAGCTCAGGCCACTGACCTACTTTGTGATTTCTGAGAAACTTATCTACTTCGCTTCCGCTTTTCACCTCCTGTGGTCCAGGATGCATCCTCCCCCGCTACCCCCCACCTGCCACTGCCACCAACTCTTCCTCAGGACCTGAAGTCCACCATCTTCCCCTTACCCTCCACGCCCCAAGCAGGAAACCCCTCCTCCTTCTCTTCAGCTCTCACCAAGACCCAGAGGTGGTAGAAGTAAAAAAATAATGATGCTAAAACAAATTATCCGCCGGGCACAGTGGGCATTTTGAGAGGCCAAGGTGGGAGGATTGCTTGAGGCCAGGAGTTAGAGGCCAGCCTGGGCAACATAGCAAGACCCCTTCTTTAAAAAAAAATAGAAAAATTAGCCAGGCATGGTGATGCACACCTGTTGTCCCAGCTACTTGGGAGGCTGAGACAGGAGGATCACTTGAGCCCAGGAGTTGGAGGCTGCTGTGAGCTATGATGACGCCACTGCACTCCAGCCTGGGCAACAGAGCAGGACTGTCTCAAAAAATAAATAAAAGGTAAAAATAAGATCCAGCTTACTTCTGTCAACAGAAAAGAACTCAATCTCTGTGAAATAATTTAAAGAGGTTTATTCTGAGCCAAGAACGAGTGGCCATGGCCAGGAGCAAGTGGTCTCACTGTGCTTGGGTTACAGTTGGTTTTATACATTTCAGGGAGACAGGAATTACCCATGAAGTCATAAATCAATACATGGAAGGTGTACATTGGTTTGGCCAGAAAAGGCGCAGAGACATCTCGAAGCCGGGGCGGGGGGGATTACAGGTTACAGATGGGTTTAAAGATTCTTCGATTTGTAGTTAGTTAAAGAAATGAAGCTTTGTCTAAATGCTTAGAATGTTTTAAGTTAAGATAAGGAAATCTGCTCATCAGAGACAAGTCACTGGATGTATACCCAGACTCATGAGATATGGACGGTAAACTGAGGACCTGCAGGTGTGATTTAAGCTTTGTCTTGCACAGCTTTAGGCCTGTTACTGAGTTACAAAGGACATCTCCAAGAAGGGAAGGGGGCGTGATGAGAAGGTCTGACCTCCCTTCTCATGGCCAGCAACTCAGCTTTAGGATATTTCTTGGGTCCCCTTGACCAAGAGGGGGTCCATTAGGTTGATGGGGGAGCTTAAGACTTTATTTTAGTTCACATTTCATATTTGTGTTAACTACTTGGCCCCTGTAGACATTTGAGTTTGCACCCTTGAATGATAAGATAACAGGGATTGTGACTGGGATGGGGGGATATGAAGGGGACTGACATTTGATCTTTGAGTTGATAAGATAGTGGGAGGGAAGAGTGTTCCAGTCTAAGGGAGCAGCCTGTGCAAAGGTCCTGAGGCAGGAAGGAGCTTGGAGACATCCAAGTATCAAAGGGAACCAGAGTCTCTGGAGCTCAGGGGTAGTGAGGGGTGAGTAGTGGTCAGAAGGGTGAAGGGGGTGCAAGACGCAGAATTTTGTATAGGACATTAGGATTTCAAATTTTATCCCAAGCGTGATGGAAACCATTGGAAGATTTTTTTTTTTAACTGTTAATGCCTAGAGACTTTATTTTTTATTTATTTATTTATTTATTTATTTATTTATTTATTTATTTATTGAGGCAGAGTCTCACTCTGTTGCCTGGGCTAGAGTGCTGTGGCGTCAGCCTAGCTCACAGCAACCTCAAACTCCTGGGCTCAAGCGATCCTCCTGCCTCAGCCTCCCGAGTAGCTGGGACTACAGGCATGTGCCACCATGCCCGGCTAATTTTTTCTATATATTTTTAGTTGTCCAGATAATTTCTTTCTATTTTTAGTAGAGACGGGGTCTCACTCTTGATCAGGCTGGTCTCGAACTCCTGAGCTCAAGCAATCCTCCCACCTCGGCCTCCCAGAGTGCTAGGATTACAGGCGTGAGCCACCGCGTCCGGCCTCCTAGAGACTTTAAACAAAAGTTATTAGGACAATTTATGAGTGTGCACAAAAAGAGGAAAAGAGTCTAAAACCCAACCCCCAGATTCAGTAGTTTCACTGTCCTGCCGTGCTGACTTTATCAACTACCCTCTTTTTAAATTTGACATCAATTCAGACCTCATCCCATTTCACTTCCTCCCCCACTATTTTGAATGCATCCCTAAGAGATAGGGGACATATATATGCATATTTATGTGTGTATACACACACACATGTATGTTATATATGTGTGTGTATATATATGTATATAAAATCATGCAGCCATGATCGCACTCAACAAAGTAACAAAAATCCCATAATAACACAAATTATTCAGAGTCCAACTCCACCCACAGAGCTTTTTGTGTCTTTCCCTCTCTCCCAAAATCAAACTCAACTCTGATCAAATCTCATGTTCCAACTCCCAGTTTACAGCAGGTGCTGGCCAATCCTGCCCACTTCCAGTTTTTAAATGGTTGAAGAAAATCAAAAGAAGAATGATATTTCAAAACATGTGCAAATTATATGCAACTCCAATTCCAGCGTCCCTAAAAAGTTTTATTGGTACACAGCCACCTCCACCCATGTGTGTGTGTTGTCTATGGCAACTTTTGCACTTCAATGGCAGAGTCGAGTAATTGTATCATAACAGGGGCCGCGTGACTCACAACGCCAAAAATATTTAGTATCTGGCCATTTTCAGGAAATGCTTGCCGAGCCGTGATTTATAGGAAATAGAGGAATATGTACGATGACACCACAAGGGTAAATCAGCATGATCCAGGACACTGGGAGATTCTACAGGGCAAACAACCTGGTGTCTTCAATGGTTTGGATAAAAACAGGCACCAGGGGCCAGGTGTGGTGGCTCACGCCTGTAATCCCAGCACTCTGGGAGGCTGAGACGGGAGGATCACTTGAGGCCGGGAGTTGGAGACCAGCCTGAGCAAGAGCGAGACCCCATCTCTACAAAAAAGAAAAAAGAAAAATTAGTTGGGCGTGGTGG